AAAAAAAAAAAAAAGAGAGAGAAGAAGAAGCAAATAACAATGCAATGTGACTTCTCTATTTTCTTCATTATAGGTTGTAACTATATATTTATCACACATGTATTCATACACATAGACACACACATATATAAGGGATTGAAAAGAATATGGCGTTGAAACAAGAAGCTCAAACCATATAATTTCAGGAAATAATCAAATATTGATTCTCAATTTATCCTTATAAAATATTAAATATGTAATATTACACATCACTCATTTGATATCCCGATTTAATTTTTGTCAAAGTATCATTGATTTAATAATAAAGCCAATGCGTAAACTCTAAAATCAGATCATAATTTTTAGATGGTGTTGAATTATATAGTGTTCCACGTCAATTAGGAAAAAGAAAATTACATAAAAATATTTCGAGTTTAATATACTATAAAATTGCTATAATGGCATATGAAATACAATAGGATATAAAAATTGTTTCTACTAATTAGTGTGTGACAGTACGTTCCTAATTTTATTTTTTAATTTTGTTTGACCAAAAGAAAAAACACCAAAAAATAAAAAAATTAGCGGCTTTTCTTTTCTTTTCTTTTCCTCTCCTTCTTGCTCTCTGTATTGAAATTTTTATTATATCCATCTCCATATAATATCACCAAAAAAACACCAGCTAAGACGACATAACAAATAACAACACTAATATATAAACTCTCTCTCTCTTTTTTTCTCATTGCTCCTCTCACATATTGTGTATCAGAAAGCAGATAATTTTCTCCATATTATAATCTTCAATTAACTAGCAAAAAAAATAAAAATAAATCACAGCCATAGCCCATAGCCCATAGCTTTATTTTCCATTTTAGCTTCTTCTTCTCTTCTTTTCATATTATACGTTTGAATAAGGAATTGAATTTCATATTCATATTCATCTCACTCTATACACACACAAAATACACACACCAAAAACACACAGTTTTGTTAAAAGGAACTGTTTGTTTCTTCTTCCTTTGGAAGAATTTTTCACAATATAAATAGCAACCGCCATTAACGGACTCGTTTGAAGATCTCTTCTTTTTCTGTAAATATTCTCAACCTTTTACTTACGTCATTGTTTATGCTTTTCCTAATTTTCAAGTAATGTAATTTAGTAAAAGAAGAATTTTTGTGTTATTATTTTAATTATTTTGTTTATTGTAGGATTTTGATGAGAATTTGGAGGTGATCTGTGGTAAGAGTTAAAGATTGTTAGTTGATAATTGTTGTTTGTTAGATCTGTAATTGTGTATGATTAATGAAGTGAGTATTATGTGATTTGTTTGTTCAGGATTTTTGTATTATTTGTTAATTGGAGGGTTAAATTTACAAAATGGTGAAGAGATATGACTTAGAGATGATGACGTGTACATGAGTTCTCAACTCAAACGCCCCATTGTTGTTTCTTCCCCTGCTGAACCGTAAGTCTTATAAATAAATTATCATAGTTTTGAACTTTTATTATACTGCAAAATTACTATGTATTTTGTCCTAATTCTGAGATTATTAGGTAATATTTCCAAAATTTTAACGTATAATTTGGTGACCTTCAACTTACGTGCAGAAGCTTTATACAATTGGTAGGGGCAGTAATTTGTTTTGCTAAAGTGATAAGCTTTTTTGTTTTTTACTAAATTTTATCCCCTATTTGAGCTGAACAGAGAGTAGTAGTATTAGTTTAGTTGCATCACAATAAGTCTCCAAATTTTGTTTTTCCTTTTTATAATATTTGCACGAAATGTTTTTTTCTCCTTTTTTTTCCTTTCTGGTATTGACATTCAGTATTGATACTGTGACTTAATGTGGGCTCATGATAGATGTTGATTTCCCTGTAGAAAGATGTGTGCTTTTTATTTCATGTCTTATTACATTTGACACTGCAGTTCTGGGCAATCCCCAATGATGGGTGGAAGCAGTGCGAATAAGCTAACAACAAACGATGCCCTTTCCTATCTAAAGGCAGTGAAGGAAATCTTTCAGGACAGAAGGGACAAATATGATGAGTTTCTTGAAGTCATGAAAGATTTCAAGGCTCAAAGGTAGAATCTTGATAGGTTAAATGCCATTGATTTAGCAAAATATTTGGTGCTTGATTAGTTTTTTTATCCCTTTCCTTGGGACTGTTTGTTTGCAGAATTGACACTTCTGGTGTCATAGCGAGGGTGAAGGAATTATTCAAAGGGCATCGAAGCCTAATTATGGGGTTCAATACATTTTTGCCCAAGGGATATGAGATCACCAATCCTGAGGACGAACCTCCAGTGAAAAAGCCAGTTGAATTTGAAGAAGCAATCAGTTTTGTAAACAAGATAAAGGTGAAGCATCACACCACTAGTGAATGCTGCTTTTCAAATTAAAATTGCTCCTCATTTGATTAACATTCTGCTTTGCAGACTAGATTTCAAGGTGATGATTTCGTATATAAATCATTTCTTGATATTTTAAATATGTATAGAAAGGAAAACAAGTCCATTGCAGAAGTTTATAATGAGGTATGTTACTCGCCTTTGCTTGACAGCTTCTTTGCATTTGAGTCAAAACGGAAAGCATGAATGTTTTCTAATCTCATAATGAGATTTTATCTCTTTCAAATGTCACCACTGAGATCTTACACATTTTGAGGCGATTTTATGTTCTTGCAGGTCTCCTACCTTTTCCGTGGCCATCCTGATTTGCTTGAAGAGTTCACCCATTTTTTACCTGATGCCATGGCTGCAGCCCGAGCTCGTCAGGCTCAAGCTCATAGGGCCCCTATCCTGCGTTATGATGCGAAAAGCTCTTCGATGACCACGGCAAGGCACATGCACGTCGAGAAGGTAGTTTCGTGATGGTGATTTTCTAGAGTCCGTTGTCGTTGAATTTTGGCTGATAAATCAGGGTATTTTTATCTTTTGGCTGGTTTAGAAGGCTACTTCACATGTCGATCGGCCTGATCCAGAATACGAAGAAACAACGATGAAAACTGAAAGGGATAGAAGGGATCCACAATATGAGGATAGAGAGCTGGACAGAAAATCTGTTCATAGAGATACTGCTGTTGACCAGTTTGAACACAGTAAGTTTGCCGATTGATGTAATTTGCTTGTTCCGACCTTGAAAAGTAATTACCTAATATAGAAATTATTACTTGCAATAAATTTGCAAGGTAAGTATTGATATTAAGAAAATTATGATTGAGACTTGCACCTTGTTGTATGGTATATAACAATTTGGCCATCTGAGTTTTGCTGCCTGTATGTTTCATTTCCTGTAAACATACTCTAAGTTTCATTTTATTAGCTCCATCAAATTTTTTAGTTGAATGGCTAGTAATCTACTTATGTTGGAGCAGGTATGCAGGACCATGGTTTTGCTTACTGTGAGCGGGTTAAGGAAAGATTACAGGATATCGGAGATCGAAATCAGTTTTTTAAGTGCCTTCATATCTATAGCAAGGAAATAGTTACAAGACCACAATTACAATCCCTGGTATCCTTCTTCATGCTTTGAATTTTTTTTTTCATTGAGCTTGGTTAAATTTTTAAATTTGCTTGTCCAGGTGAAGGTTATCAATACCCTTGAACTAATTCATACTCCCTCCGGTCTACAATAAGTGACCATTTTACCTTTGGCACACCCATTAAGGAAATACGAATTCCTAGAGAAAAAAAGATACATCACTAAATTAGCCTTAATTAATTGCTACCTTGACACATTGGAATATGTAAATAAGGGCAAATTTTGGAAAAATAAAATTAATTCCTTCTTGATTATGTAAATGGACACTTATTTTGGACCAAAATAAAAAGGTAAAATGGTCACTTATTGTGGACTGGAGGGAGTATCATTTTATAATAGAAATATGAAACCAATAAGGCAATGACCTATATATCTGCTATATTCCTTCTTTTGTTTTAGGGAAGTAGTATACAGCTTTGTCTGTAGTGAGAAATCTTGTGTATGCATCCCAATGTTCATATATCTTCACATACATCTGACGTCATAGACAGTAATGGCGTTGATTATCAGTTGCATAAATACACCACCCCACCCCCACCCCCACCCCTTTTTCCAAAAAGAAAAATGATGAAAGTTCACGGAAGTATAATCTATCGCTTATAAACACACTGATGAATCTTTTCTTAATGAGGATGTGGTTCCACCAGCATGTCTTTCTGTGTCTGGCTTGACTTTATGCTTGCAAGGCGTAGTCTCAATGTTAGTTGTCAATTACATGATTCAGTTTCTTATCTATAATGCTTCTATAGTATCAGTGAAATCAGTAATTTGGAGTAAAAATTTGTTTGCCTTAGGTTAGCAGCTTACTCGTGAAACATCCAGATCTCATGGACGGATTTGATGAATTTATTTCTCACTGTGACAGGACAGGTAATAAGCTAATGATTCCTGCTTACTTTTCTGTTACACTTGCATTGCTTTGCTACTGCTACTTGAGTTTCATTTTCCAGATCTTAATAAAGATTTTATTCTATTTGGAGTTTTTCTGCAGATGGTTATCTTGCTGCTATTCTGAGCAAAACACGTAAGAATGATGTTAGCTGTAGTCTTGAAGATGTAGTCTTATTTCTTTTTTAGCAATATGACAATGACTATAATGAAATTGCGGCACCTGTATGTCCACTAGATCTCTGACTTATCTCAATCCATTTCAGGATCCTCATGGAACGATGAACACATTCCCAAGTTGGATAAAGTAGAAGACCGGGACAAAGACCGAGATTGTGAGTGGGAAGACAGGAATAGAGTCCGCGAAACAAGAGAAAGAGATAGACCTGATAGAAGCGTCGCCTATGGAAGTAAAGATATACAAGGGCAGAAGATGTCTTTGTACCCAAGCAAGGATAAATACGCAGCAAAACCTATACATGAACTTGATCTCTCCAACTGTGAAAGTTGCTCACCGAGTTATCGGCTTCTTCCAAAGAATGTACAGATCTATTGTTTAAAGTAACTCTATTTGCTTCCTAAGATACATGTATTGGTGTCTTATAAATCTTTTGCACCATTCTTGCTACAGTATCCAATTCCATTAGCGAGTCAGCGAACCGAGATTGGTGCTGATGTACTAAATGATCTCTGGGTATCGGTGACATCAGGAAGTGAGGATTACTCTTTTAAACATATGCGCAAAAACCAGTATGAAGAAAGCTTGTTCCGATGTGAAGATGACAGGTTGGAAGTTGTCTTGATGCATGTGGTCTTAAAGTCTTAACTTTCATTTTACCTAGAATGTGAAGTGATCTCATATCCTCTGACCAGTTCTTGTAAAGTTTCCTTAATACTCCTTTGCAATTGGTGATGCTTCCATAATAATAGGTTTGAGCTGGATATGCTTTTAGAGTCTGTCAATGCAACAACAAAACGTGTTGAAGAATTGCTTAACAAGATCAATGATAATACTATTGCCAGTGATAGTCATATCCGTATTGAAGAACATTTTACTGGTAAGAGGCTGATAACTGATGCTGATATTGCTATTGGATTGTTGTAATCATAATTTCTTATGCTTTTTTTTTTGGNTGTTGTTATCATAAATTCTTATGCTTTCTTTTGCTATAGCTCTGAATCTAAGGTGCATTGAACGTCTCTACGGTGACCACGGGCTTGATGTTATGGATGTGTTAAGGAAGAATGCACCACTTGCCCTTCCAGTTATACTCACTCGCTTGAAGCAGAAACAAGAGGAGTGGGCAAGGTGTCGTTCTGATTTTAATAAAGTTTGGGCTGAAATTTACGCTAAGAACTATCACAAATCACTGGATCATCGTAGCTTTTATTTCAAGCAGCAGGACACGAAAAGCTTGAGCACAAAAGGTAATGTAAGATGACATTTTCTGATTTAGAACTAGTTCATTCTAATAACTTTATACTTTCACCATATTGTGTTTCGGAAGTTATTCTATAATTTATGAATTCTAGAATTCTCTTCTAGAAGGAAACAGTTTTTTGTCCTTGTAGCCTGGGCTGTCTGAAGCAAGAGCTTACAATTTAAAAATTGGCTCTTGTAGAACCAGAACAATGTTCTTAGAAGTTGAAATGAGTTTTTAGAAAGGAGCTCAAGATTTATGGCTCTCACAATATTTGTCAAGAGGTCAGAATCAGTGTGGAGTTCTACTTTCTAACAACTAGAAGACCCAACAAGCAGAAAAATTGATGAAGCAGAAATTCCATTTTTGCTTTCACCTAACTGTAGTTGTTACTTGCTCTCCGAAGTCTTATCGAGCTTTAAGAATAATCTAATGCTTGCCCTGCTGGAGAATTTGTTCCATCAATGCCTGCCCGACCAAAAATAAACATATTTGAGCCTACTGTTTAGCTTTATAATAATGTTGAAGTTTATGTTTACCGTATAAAATAGGACAACATGCATTGATCACAAGCCTTTTTTGAGACTATTCCAGATGATATAAGGACTATTACTACTTATAGGTATTCTTGTCTTGAATTATTTACTTATCTTATCAAAAAAAGGTATTCTTGTCTTGAATTATTTACTTATCAAAAAAAGGAATTCTTGTCTTGAATTACCCTCTATATAGGTGACAAGAGTATCGACGTGAAGGATCTAGTCTGAGACTCGAAGCTACTAGGAAATTTTAAACTAGAAGTAACATTCTCAACTTACAATTAAAAAACCTCTCCCCTTCCTCGAAAGATTAGAAACAAACCGTATCTGCTCTTTTGAACTTGATTTGGCAAAATTGGTGTGCCTAAGCTAGCTGTTGTTTGTGAATGAAGTAGCATGTAGCTGTCTAAGCTCACAGCAATTCGTGCAAGTGGCCTAATGTTCTTTACTTGGAAAGGTTCCATCACAACGGTAATAAATGCCAAAAGGAGGTGTAAGAGATTTGACCATCTATATGTTGTTGTGCCATCTCAAATGGATTACCCTTGGTAGTCATTTTTGATAGATGTAAATTCATTTGCTTGTGGATGGTCATGACAATGCTTTCACATAATTCAGCAGTAGGTTTTATTCAACAAGTGCCTTTATTTTCTTGCAGACAGAGGAGGAAGTTTGTTGTACATCCACAATAGTACTACTTTCTTGAGTTGATTATAGAATTTTCAATCATCTGTTTTTGCCCCAGCACTAGAAGCACACCTTGAATTGTAATGTAGAGAAAGATCTTTTGAGAGATCATAGTGCATTATATGAAATATTGTTCAAAGTCTTTCCAATTTTCACCAATTCCGACCTACCTTTATTTATGGGATATTTGAAGGAGAGCTTTGTAACTTTTTCTATAAAATTCTCTCTATCTCGAAAAATTAGTTTTTCCTTGCTACAAGTAGATGTTTATCAAGGAACTGATGTTTTCATCCCCACAGCACTGCTGGCTGAGATCAAAGAAATCAGTGAAAATAAGTGCAAAGAAGATGATGTGCTTCTCTCTGTTGCTGCTGGAAATGGGCAACCAATTATCCCTCACCTGGAGTTCGAGTATCCTGATTCTGACATCCATGAAGACCTTTATCAAATCATTAAGTATTCATGTAGTGAAGTTTGTACAAGAGAACAGTTGGATAAAGTCATGAAGATTTGGACCACCTTCCTGGAACCAATATTTGGTGTTCCTCGTCAACCTCAGGGTGCAGGGGATGGTGGAGATGTTGAAAAGGCTAAAAATCAAAATGCTATAGGTAACACAGCAATTGATGGGGAAAGGGCTGGTAGCCCTGCTAGTGACTCAGGCATGAATTGCAGACAAAGCAGTTCCAGGAATGGAGATGAAGAGCCTCCACCTCAGCATTCAATTTCTTCCAGAGTTCGGATTGCAAATGGTGAAAATGGGTTTAAGGATGATAAATCTCCTGATGCAACTGGTGTGACACTGAAAATTGTCACTTCAAGGACCCTCCTTCAGCATGGAAAGGCAGCCGCTGATCCCAAAATGGCGGATGCAGCATCTGGTCTCAGCAGAGAGTCTTTTGGTGCTGACCAGCTAGTGCTTTCAAACAGCACGGTTGTGGAGGAAAGCCATGGAAGAGTCTGTAGAGAAACTGCTTCAGGTTCATGGGCTGCCTACTTTGGATTGCTCTTCCATTTTGTATTTTTCACACTTCTTCATAGGATTANCCCCCCAAAAAAAAAAAAGACAACACAAAGTTGCCGTACCACTTGTTCTCTTTCTTCAACCTCTTCCCCATGCTCTAGTCCCAAAAAGCCGAACAATTAGGAAATAAGAGGTAGTCTTTAACTATGTTGCGCGGACTCTTCAAAATGATGCCACACCTGTGTTGGATCCTCCAAAAATACACTATTTTTGGAGGATCCGACACCCACCTGGCAACATTTTCGGAGAGTCCGAGCAACATAGGTCTTTAGATAAACCACTGGCAAAATATCTTGACATGAATCCAAAAGAAGGAAATTTTTGAGATCCTGCTGTGAACTGTGTTTATCTGCCTCTTGCTCCCTTGTCAGGCACAGACTAGGGGTGGCGAAATTTCCCCAAAAGTAACCTGCCCAAAATTTTATGGGTTGGCCAATTTTTCTGGTGGGCTAATTTGGGCTATGCCCAAAGTAACCTGTCAGAAAATAGCAACCCAAGTTGAGCTGTTTAGATACCCCACCCAACACTATATTAGTGGAACAAAAGCTTTTTAAGAACTTAAATCGTTATCTTGCTACATCTTTATTCCACCAACTGCAAACTCCACGACATGGCCCAGGGGGCGCATACAGAGGTTCCCCGTATTAGTGGTTTTGGGCTTGTTTTTAATTGGACACTGTTTGCAGTGCCTCTAAACTTGAAGCTGATACCTGGTTTTCTGCTTCTTTGGGATGTGAAACCGTCCGCAGTGAGGGTGTAATCAGATTACATTGAGAGTGCACAAGTAGCCTTTTTCCAAGAAAACCCCAAAGCACACAGACACAACTAAAAGAAAACCACATTCAGATACTATTTAAGCTTGCAGTATATCTGTTGTTGCCCCCCCATCTCTAATTTTTCCCCCTTTTTTGCCGCATGATTTTAGGATGGAGGGTTGGTGGACCCAAAGGCAGAAGGTGTCAAGGTTGAGAAATGTCTTGAAGAATCCATAGGAAAATGTAAACTTGAGAGAGAAGAGGGCGAATTAACTCCAAATGGTGATTTTGAGGATAATTTTACACCATCAAATGAAGGTGGTCCAAATGTATCACATAGTTTAAAGGGAAGTTCAAGTAGTAAGCTGTACCAAAGTGGACATAGAGAAGTAGTTCGTGGTGGAGAGAGAGGATGTGAGAATGATGCTGATGATGAAGGGGAAGCAAGTGCTCACGGGACATCAGAGGATAGTGAGAATGCTTCTGAAAATTGTGATGTTTCAGGTAGTGAGTCTGCCAATGGAGAAGGTTCTCACGAAGAAGAGCGTGAAGATGGGGACAATGATGAGAATGATAACAAGGCAGAGAGTGAAGGAGAGGTGGAAGGAACTGCTGATGTCCATGATGCTGAAGGAGATGGTTCTGTTATGCCATTTTCAGAACGTCTTCAACATACATCCAGGCCTCTCACAAAGCAAGTTCCTTCTATATTTCATGACAGAGAGAAGGAATCACGTATATTTTATGGAAATGATTCATTTTATGTGCTGTTCAGACTTCACCAGGTAAGGCTATTTAATATCATGTAGTAAAAATCCTTCAGATGATGCAACACTAATGTTTCTTCTCTTAACTACAGACATTGTATGAAAGACTACAGAAAGCAAAATCGCATTCTTCGTCATCTGAACACAGATGGAGAGTCTCAAATGCTATAAACCCCACTGAATCATATGCCAGGTCACTTGAGTGATTTGTTTCCTGTTCCATTTCATTTTGATTAATCTGCACTTAATTAGACCAAGCTCCTCTTTGATGTTTCAGATTCATGAGTGCACTTTATAACCTGCTGGATGGTTCCTCTGACAATGCAAAGTTTGAGGATGACTGCCGAGCTATTATTGGAGCTCAGTCATATCTTCTCTTCACCTTAGACAAACTGATATACAAAATTGTCAAACAGGTAAATGCTTGTGTTTTTTCATTTTCTCCTTGTTTGGTGTATGCAGTTGCCTTGTACTATTCTTAAAATTTCGTTCTGCATCTCGTGCAGCTACAGACAATTGCAACTGATGAGTTGGAAAGTAAACTTCTCCAACTGTATGCTTATGAAACCTCAAGAAAATCTAGCACATTTTCGGATGTAGTTTACCATGAAAATGTGCGTGTTCTTCTTCATGAAGAGAGCATATACAGAATAGCATGTGTAAGTTTTTGCGACATCTTTGCTTCCTTTTATGTTATGTGACCAATATAGAACCTAGCATTCCCTTTTCCATTTAAACTATCATTGATAAATGACCTCCACTGCAGTCATCTACACCAACACGTCTATCCATACAACTCATGGACTATGTTCATGATAAGCCTGAGATGTCTGCGGTGTCAATGGACCCGAATTTTGCAGCTTATTTGAGCAATGAACTCCTCTCTGTTATTCCTCAGAAGAAGGAGAACCCTGGGGTGTTCTTGACAAGGTAGTATATCAACAGAGAGTGCTTTCTTGAATATTTTATATCATAGGTTAATGCTTTCTCGTATCTTGCAGAAACAAGCGGAAGTATGGATTTGGAGATGAGACTTTTCCAGGTGCAGTTATGGAAGGAGTTCAAATTATTAATGGTCTAGAATGTAAGATAGCATGCAGTTCATCAAAGGTACAATAGCTATCCTTAGTAATAGATACAAATTGAAGAGCCTTGTCTCTCTTGCTAACTGTTTTGTGGTTCCGGATGCCCTAGGTCTCTTACGTTTTAGACACTGAAGATTTCTTGATCCGGTCAAGAAAAAGGCGGAGAACATTGAAGGACAAATTTTCATCCAATGGCCACTCGAAGTCTTTGAATGGTTCTAGTAAAGTACAACGTTTCCGCAGATTACTCTTCAGTTGAAAGATGTGCATTTTGCATGTCTGCAAAATGGTAGAAAGGTAATCTACAAATTCAATTAGTCATAGTTATAGTTCTATGACACACAAAATGGAGTAATGGAGTCCAAAAGGTAGAATTTCACACAATTTACATGCTCTCGAAGGTTTCTGACTTTATGCTTCTAATATTTGTTTCTTAGCCGACTACTCGCATTTGTGGAAATTCAAATTTTGGCCCCCGCTACCATAGATTTATGTACCTTTTCCTATTGAATAAATGATCCAGCTAACAGCTTGGAAAATTTGTAGGATATCATCTCTAAATTTTGTGCCCAAATTGATGTATATATCTTTGCCTTCTCTGTTGTAAAACACTATAATTGTCAATTTCATGAAATTTTCCTTGTTACAGTGTAGCAGATTCCTCGTGTATTTATTTTCTTCTGCCTAATTTCCCGAGTCCGAAATTCTTATGGCCAACTCACCTTTCCCGTCTCGATGCAACTTTTTGAACCTCTTTCTTTTTGTGTTGAAATAACTGTCAAGGATGGAGCATACTGCGAGACCGCAATAATGGAGCTAGTTTTTTGTGCTTTTTAATCTTAAATTAAGCTAATATGTTATTGAAATTTGCTGTCCAAGTTTGGTACAATTTTCCATAAAACTGACCGAGTATTTGGTCGCAAATTCATAAAAGCATATTCAAGTTGTGTGAGTATCACATAGCATGCTGCTAGAAATTCTAGTAAAGTAGCTAATGAACAATGATTTTGGTTAGTAGAACTAGAAACATTACCAGATTGTTTTGGCTTGGTAATAAATAAAAAAAATGAGCTGCTGCAATCTGATTTTGTTCACGCCGTATCCTCTACCTTTTCCATCCTTTAAAATAAAATAGTGATATGCCATGTAACAGTGGCCTGTTTGTAGAACAGTTTCGGGCAAATTGAAGATGGCCAACAAAGGGAAATTTCTGGCGCTACATTCTTAAGTGTTTGGGCTCCATTTATTTATCTTTTAACTGAGTTTCTCTGGAGAACACACTTGGAAATTTGGCAGCTATTAAGATGTAACAGAATTGTGTGAACTTACTCATCTAAAAACTTAAAAGATGGCACAAATTTGATATTTATTTATATCTTAGGTATACCCTTTAACATGCAGATGGATTGTTTTAATGTACGAAGTACTTGAATTCTTTATATGATGGGTGGTGAAACTCAAGTTCTCTATGTATTTTCGAATAACGATATAAAAAACTTTGTAATCTATATAGGGGGTAGGGGAAGGGGATTACAAGGCTGAATTATGTCACAACATGAACAAAATGGCTGAAGCTTATGTATATCAAAACAAAGAGGTTTGGGCAACAGGACCATTTCCGAAATGGAGTGATATACATTTTGACTGAAATCCTGGTTGATCTACAAATAAGAAATTTATTTGTGATGGAATATACAATCACACTTTCTAAAAGCGAGTTATATACCATTCTGGTCTATTGCTATGTTGCTACTCCAAAGAAAAAGGAGAGGGCAATCCTCCAAGCTAATTGGTGAACAATCAACTCTAGGAAATCATGCTCACTTAAATTGAATCTATACTTCATTTCCGCTGCATGGTCATTCTACCAAGTGCCAATCAATCTGGAAACGCAGATAGACCAACCTGATGTAGTGTGTTTGGTTTAGTCCTTACTACAGATGTATACAGCGTACTCCACTATAATACGTCTTGTATGAAGATACTGATTTTGTCGTTTTTTGACACCTCGCCCATTATCAAAAGCTGCACCTGTCAATTGTTCACTAGATTCTTGCTACTCTGCTGCTCTGAGCAATCTCTCTTATAGCAAGGCTGAGCCTGGCTCAATAATTTAAAACTGTTCTGGGACTGGTTTTAGACCAGTAAATTCAGGACAATGAGAGAGAAATCAGTATCATGAAAGGAAGACAAAGATGAGTCTACTTTGCAAGGGTAAAAGAGTTGTTAAGACGTGGGAGCTGATTAGTACTTCGAACTGTGTGAACCATGGAGATCGTGAATGAACCATCAATTGACATGCTGGTGATAAATGAGAAATTCACTAATTTGTAGCCTCGTCGACAGAACATAAATTGATCAAGTTCTATTGCTTTTACAGGAACAGTGGCTATGGATTACCTGCGTTTGAGTTCGACTCCTTAAGGAGATGATGAATTTTCGTTTGAATATCATCCAGCTAATTCACTTATTGGTGGGCGGTCCATTATGTTAGATGCACCCTTGGCATTGCTTTGCAGCAGTGGATCTATATCAGGCAATTTAGGAATCTGAAATCATACAGAAAAGGAAAAATAAAACAGGAAGAAAACTAAAAAGAAGTGAAAGGAAGAACAGAAAATAAGGAGTTGTATAATCCCTGAATATAAGGAACTTAGTAAAGTGTAGGGCCATCTCTGTCTTTATTTAATTATATAGGCTGGGTGCCTAAACGTATGCCCTTAAACTTTGTAATACTTAGTTCTTAATCTTGTACAATAAAGATTTAGTTGCAAACAAGAGACAAGAGGCAGAATGAAGATTGACTGCAAATGGTCGCCAAAGAATATGCAATCGCTAGTGCAATATGGATTTCCTCAAATACAGCAAGCAAGAGACTCATAGTCTTTAACAACATGCATACCAGCAAGCAAGAGACTGATAGTCTTTAACAACATGCATACCTGAGCTAATAAATCAATTGTTCTTCGTAGAAGGCGAGCCAAATCTCCTTCATCCATTGCACAGTCCATCATAATCTCTTTCCAAGTAAGACCAGAAGCCCAGGCTTCAACCATGCCAGAGAATTGGCTATCCAAGCAGCAAGGAATCTGTGAAATTAGCAAGTTTGTTTCATAATAATGAAGTGTGGAGCCAACCTGGAACCTATTGTGAAGTGGCTCCAATCAAACTTGAAAACTCACTTGTACTCCATGCTTTTCCTGAAGCTCTAGAATTGAGCTTTTTGTTTCTTCCAATAAGTCAATGACATTCAAGACAGCGGTGGAGGGTTCGTAAACGAAACTGCAGATATAAGATTTCAAATCAGATCTTTCCTTTTCAGCATAGAGGTTTATAAAACATCGGCGATTGTGTAAAAGCCAACTTAACCATGATGAACTGATATTGGAAGTTCACTAAACATTTGCTTTGATTTCTACAATTCTTTTTAAAATACCTAGTTTACCAAAGGAATATAAAGCTCCAGCAAGAACTCCGCACTAAATTCTGGATTAAATGAAACCGCAAACAGATGTCTCACACGAATTGTGCCCAAATTTATATATGGTATAACATATAAGAACCTCTTTATTTCAGAAACCCAAAAATCTTGTTCAATTAGATAGTCAGTACCTACTGCAACACAACTATCCAGCTATCAAATAGAGCTACTAATCTCCAAACTATAGACTAGTCTCGAGGTCAAGCACAAGTAAAACACATATGACATCGAAAATCTGGAAATTCACCTCCTTATCCAACAAAAATTATGGAAATTCACCAGGACACAAGTAACACAACAGAGAGAAGCCATTGTAATTCAAACTAGAGTGCAGTAAAAGTGAAATACCGTTCCTTCTGGAAAAGTAGCTGTAAGGGTACTGTATGTCGTTAATCCTTACTAGTAAGTATTGCATAAAACTTCAAATCAGGTTTCAGCGAATGTCAATAGTAAGGAAATCAAAATAAAGATTTTTACTCCACAAAAATTTGCCACAAGATTTCAGCTGGATATCAGACTCCTACTTGACATAATCTTCAAGAAAGCATCAGATATCGTCTGAATACTTGCCACTAATGAAACAACAGCCTTGATAGGGATATGAACAGATCAACTACCATCAGCAGTCTCTGCAACATATAGGGGAATTGTAAGCCTATGCTGGATCAGGCCCCATTAAGATCACAGGTAGGTTTAGGTTCTTCGTCTGGAAACTAACTTTTCCAAACCTCTGCACTCTCTTCTTTTTGCACAAGTCTAATGTGACACTGTCCTGCTTGCTGCCTTCTCAAGGGGTAAGACAATGGCAACTTACTGGGGATCCTCTATCCAAAATAAGAGGAAGAGCAGGAGAGAGAGAGAGAGAGAGATGAAAAATAATGCTTTACATGGAAATGAGTTGGTCACCAATATGAACTTGAACTTTCTTGTAACTCAATATCTAGACCACTAAATCCTAATTTAGCAATGCTAAGACAAAGAAGAGCAGCGGTGACCATTTTCTTCAAAAGGATAAGTCCTTTATTTATATGGTGGAGGAAAATCCGCATGGAGGTGTATGCAAGAGCTAGACCAACCTACACACTCACATGAACCTATAAAGGTGAATAGGCGATGTCGGAATTGAAATCAGACTGATAGTACTCTGCATCTTTAGAACAAAATTCTACCTGTTGTTTTTCCAGGGCCGAAGTCTAATTCCTTCAGAAACTAGACTTCCACAGACTGCAGCAAGCTGTGCAGGTTTTAGGTCCAGCAACAATTTATTTCGAAGAACCGTCGCAAGCCAAAGTTCATTTTCTCCTCTAATTGCAGCTGCAGTTTCACCCAGGGGGAAAATGACATGTGTATTGATATCCAATGCTCTACTTTCATGTATAACATTGCTGACCTGGCAGACATTGAGTGATGAGTAATTTCTCTGCTTTGTGATAAAAATGAAACAATAATCTGAAATTCTGTTTTAGGACACAAGTTAATCAAGGGCTTCAATCTCAACAGGGAAACTGCCCCCAGGTAATTTGCCAGACCAAGTAAAATAACAATGAGATCATGGGCGCTTGCAGCAGTTTCCAGAATATTTTCTATTTTGAAATTTTTACAACAAAGAACTGGTTCAAGTATCAAACAGTATTCACAAAGCAGCATTTCCTATTTAGTTATCCCGCAAGGCAATATCATAAAAATGTTCTCTCAATCCTTTCCCTGTAAAACACACTCCCTTCATTTCAATTTATATGACGCTATTCGACTGGATACGGAGTTTAAGATCTTAATTTGACTTATATAGCATACTCATGATAGTGGAAGAAGAATATTAAAGTAGTGGTTGAAAAATTTAATTTGATCGCGAAATCATCACATCAAAGTTTAAGGTAGGGGATACTTTAATGAATCTGAATTCTTGAAATTTTGAAAGTTGTACAGAAATGGGATGGCGTCACATTTTGGAAGTCCAAGAATGGAAAGTGTCGTATAAGTTGGAATGGAGGTTTGCTTAAGAGAATGCTGCTTTCCCAAAAGATTTCCACGTCAACTTCAGAAAAGTACAGTTCACAGAAGTGACCGATCATTTTTTCCTGCTCAATTAGCAAACATTTCCAAATTGCAAAATAAAAAAGTTGATCTCCAAGCAGATCCCCAGAAAATGACAAAGGCAACCAACAACAGTGA